GAAGGTAGCTAGGAGGTTCGCGCACGTGTCGGTGGATTTTATCGTGTAGCGCTTGGAGCCTGGCACGGAGCACGCCGGTGCTGCTTCACTCGCCTGCGTTGGGGGAAGACGCGGAAGAGCGGGACGTAGGGGGAAGGGGGAACGGGAAAGGGGGGATACAGATGGCGCTTCCTCACGACGATTTAGCGGCTGCGGAAGGATAGGGAAGAGGAGGGGACGCCGTCGCCACCGGCGGCGGGGGGCGGGGGAGAAGGAGGGATCGTGGCGATCGGCAGAAGGCGGACTTTTGAGAACGATTGAATACAGCTGTCCCGCGGCAGGAGCAACGGTTATTCGGGAGATGTTGACCACGAGACGAAGATAGGGCCACTGGCAGTCATGACGCGCTGTCCGTGTATGCAACCTCTCGCGATTCCATGGCATCGGAATTTTCATAAGTGCCTCCATGGCTCCACAACAAGCTCTCCTCTTCCTGACTCGCTCAATCTTACACGCCAGCTGACCGCAACTTCCCGCCGCGCCGTACCTGCGCTGTTCGTACCTGCGCCCGTACTGCGCTGTCCGTACCTGCGCTGCCCGTATCTGCGCTGCCCGTATCTGCGCTGCCCGTACCTGCACTGCCCGTACTACCTGCGCTGCCCATACCTGCGCTGCGCCCATGACTAGTAGCGTGCACAGAGAGAAGACCAGCAGCGGGAGCCGCACTCGCCCCTCCACTGTGACGCTGCTCCCTCTCCTTAAAGCCCCGAAAGGAAGATTGCTACGTGTAACCCTCTTCATCGTAGCACTGCTACTCGTGCTAGTCGTCGCAATGCTAGTTGTGGCACTGCTAGTCGCAACGGTAAATGGGGTTCGGATTTGTGAGCATGTAGGGAGTAACGGTTTAACTGTGTCGGTGGTGGTTGCTACAGCCGTCTGGTTACTAGTTCGAGGCGTATTCCTGCAATGGCAGCCCTACTAATGGCGTCATTTCGTAGCGCTAGCGGCCTTGAGTAAATCACTCGCGCTCCGTCAGTTACGACCTTGCTTGTGTGAAGACGCTTCCAGGGGCGGTTAGGAGATCAAGAAAGTGAAATGCAACGAGAGAAGCCAAGCACTCGTATTTCTTTTACCGCAACGCTGAAGCTGTGAGTATTCCTCTGATGACAGATTAACGCCGTTGGGCAGGGGGCAAATTCATCTGACGCGACTGCTGTGAGCGTGCGAGGGAAGGTACGGAAGAATAAACACAAGTGAGGCAGATTGCGCTGCAGCTTCTCACTTCATTCCAGATGTGTTGTTGGCGCGCGGGTGTTTTCGCTGCGTTGTGCTAGGTGCTGCGAAGCTGGCACGCCGACCATGGGCGCGAAGGGCAGCAGCGCATGAACCCATTCGTGCCTTTCAATCTTGCTGCCCACCAAGGCAAAGCACCTGGCTTGGGATGTGCACTGTGCATTCACGAAACTATAGGGGACGTATTCAAAACTCGAGTCGACCTTCAACTCGGACACCGTTCCGTCTTGAACTTCGGGTTTTCCAACCGCGCCATTATTCAGCATTGCGGTTTAGTGCGATTTTGAATCTTCGAGATAGCTCTTGAAGGGTTTACGATGTGTCACAGTTCGGCTGCACTTGTCAGGTTTGCTATTTTGTTGTCGGCCCCTCATAAATTAATTGTCTGAAAGGTCATGGGATACTCCTTAAATCAGATCTGAAGTACCTAGGGCCACCCAACAGTGTTTTACGGTTTACGGTTTTAGCTGGGAGTGCTGGCAGCTGGCCTCGATTTCGAGGTCGCAGCGGAGAAACAGCAAACCCTACCAAACCTCATCAAAGCAGGAAGGCGAGGCGAGCCGAGGCGATGCGAGCCGAGCCCAGACACCAACGAAAGGCGAGAGGAGACGAGGGGAGAGTTGCGAAATTAGCGGATTTCCAGATGACAAGGAAACGTCGTGACGCGCTTACGAAACCCTCATTGCCGAGTTAAACACTTGATGCTCAATGGCATGCTCGACTGACTGAAAATGTTCCTCAAATTCACCATGGATATTTCTCTACAGCGTCGATCTTGGAGAAAGCACAGACAGTGGCAAGGCAAGTGGTGCTGTTTGGACTCTCCCTCACGCCTCAGAACAGAACTGCAGAGAGGATGGGAAGAATGCTGCACGATGTACTGTACAGTACTTTGTTCCATGCTCTGAAACCACGACTCAAAATTGTCCAACATCACCAGGGTTTACGGAAACTGGAGGTTTCAACGCTTAGGTCGTATCCCTGGCTAGTGTCAAGAAGTTAGTGGCATGCCACTAACTCATTCTGCGCACGCGATTGGTCCAAAAAGACGATTGCGCCATTTTTGGCCCAATCGCGTGCCCAGAATGAGTCAGTGGCATGCCACTAACTTCTTGACACTAGCCAGGGATACGACCTTAGTCAAAACTCCCTGATCCCCCCACTGACACCTCTACGACTGCATTTGTTCCTGCACCTTTATGAAACGTTGGTTTCAGCAACGAAAGTACTGTATCGATTCTTGACCTCCCCACCCCGGTCTCGCGCCCCGTTCCTACCATTATGGGACTGCAAAGCAGCACCTGAAAAACTCCGCGAGTTCGCGGAGCTGTTCCGGCCATCCACGACATGCGACAATATTCCTGACCGACTTTTTTACAAACGTCATGTTCAAAATCTTCATCATTTCCAACATCAACTCCTCTGCCCTTCTCTGTCTTGCGTGTCTAGGGGAGAACGTCACATCCGAATAGTGTGGGCCACAAAAGTGATGATGGTACGAGCACACACGACAACCTACAAACACCTGAAAAGGAGCAGGTGAAAGCAAGCGAACAGCTGAAAAGTGTCCTTCCCACAAGCAGATTTCTTGATTTGGCGAAAAGGTATTTTTCACCAAGGAAAACCCGCTGTAGGTGTGTAGCAGCCGACGTATGCACGATTTTTAGGAAAAATAACGTTGGAAGGCAACGTGGTTGTCATGGCATGAGTGTGGATTATGTCTATTTCCAGGTTGTACAGCCATCTAATGATTGGAAAGAGCCTATGATCCCATTCGTACATTACTCACTATAAACAATACAAACATTTTCAATACCGTACATTATAGCCGTAGTTCCACGAAGCACTGATCCTCATTACAATCAGCAGTGTTGTGTTGCCTACCTGCAGGCTCACAAGTGTTGTTACTGCCCTGAGGTGTCAGGGTCACACGTATCACTATAATTTTGGCTCCTCGTGGAAAACACCCATCACGCCTATCGTATTTCTGTCAAAGCCCATCAGGGTCAACTCCCTGTGGCTAATGCTGTGCCCGCTACTCTGTCATCTTTACTAAAAATGTGACAAAGGTTGCTGCATCAGGTGCTGCTGTAGTCCTCCACTGTCCTGGCTGGGACAAAGGCCAATCCCTCTGCCATGCTGTTACACTTTGTCTGACACTTCTCCCTGTGTGACTTGGTTCCTTGCTGCTGCACATCTCGTCATGTTGCAATTTCTGCACATGTTGCATCCACCAATAAGGAAGTGGAGACAGCTTTGCAGGCAGGCAGCATGCACTTGCTATGGGATGAGCTGGACTTGTGGCGTCATGGTTCCTGTACAGTCATCTCCCATTGCTATAGTTCCTAAACCCGGAGAATTGTTATTAGCTATTGCACCTGTGCTGGCATCCTTATTAACATTCTCATTGACCTTGTATGAAGGTGACCCGTTGCTCGATCCTCCTGCCTCTACTGCCTCTCGCTCGGCTGGTAGGGGCGCATGGGGGTTTGACACAAAGGAGACGAGTTGTATGTCTTAGAACCACAGCACAGGGAAATTGAGACAACGACAACATAATCTATCAGCGGGCGATCAGGAGTGCAGCTGAATAGAAAAAGGATGCATACATGAACAGAAAGGGTTCAACGAATAGAACGAAGAGCATGTGGACGAGAATGAGGGAGAGGAAGGGGGAGAGGAAGTGGAACAGGCAGAGGAAGAGGAAGAGGGGAGGGATAAGAAGAGGAATTGGAGGGAGAGGAAATGGAAGAGGGAGACGGAGAGGGAGAGGGAGAGGAAGTGGAATAGGGAGAAAAAGAGGGAGAGGGAGAGGGAGAGGGGGAGGGAGAGAGAGAGGGAGAGGGAGAGGCAGAGGGAGAGGGAGAGGGAGAGGGAGAGGGAGAGGGGGAGGGAGAGGGAGAGGGAGAGGGAGAGGGAGAGGCAGAGGGAGAGGGAGTGGGAGAGGGAGTGGGAGTGGGAGAGGAAGAGGAAGAGGGAGTCGGAGAGGGAGTGGGAGAGGGAGTGGGAGAGGGAGAGGGAAAAAGAGAGTGGTTCGAGCGCACCTTTGAGAATCTTCTGCAGAGAGTGAGCAAGGGCTTCAAATGGCGGGCGTGTAACAGGATTTGCATCAACGCATGCGGCAGCAAGGCGCAAGACAGAAAGGAAAGACGGAACACGATGGGCAGCAAGCGGAGCAGCAGCAGCCGCAGCAGCAGCAGCAGCAGGAGGAGGAGGAGTAGCAGTAGCAACCGGATCAGCAGCAGGAGCAGAAGCAGCAACAGCAGGCGGAGGGGGGGAGCAGGTTGACTGTGACAGCGGATCGAGGAACACGGGATCCACTAGGTCCTGCCATTGGCGCTTCTTCAGAGCACCTTGGGCCTGGCCATGGCATTCGGAGCACAAAGGCGGAGGCCACGAGGAAGAATGGCAACAAGTGTGGAAGGAGGAAGGACAGGGTATTACTGCTTGCACATGCATGCACTCCGAACTTTGAATTGAATCCAAAATTTGAAGGGCATGGTAGATTCCATGTTAGTCTGAATTTTACGGTCCAGAAAACGGAGGCACTGGCTGGCAGGTTATGTGTGCACGGGGGTACCATACCACATGTGAGCTTGCATGAGCGTCAATGCGCACACGAGTATGTGTGCTAAAGGGATGGATTGGATGTACTCATTCACACGTTTCAGGGGCCAGCAGCACTTCTGTAGTCCGTTTGTCCGACCATCCCTCCACCCAACCACCCACTAACCACCCACCCACCACACACTCACCCAGTGCACTAGTGTGCAGATGCCCTCAACCACTGGCGGCCGCCCGGATAGCACCTCCAAAAGAACCACTCCGAAGCTGTGTGAGTGCAGACATGGTAATATAAGTGTTATTTCCAGGGAAGCAAAGGGATGAAGAGAAAGCGAAGGGGTGGAGAGGAAGGGTTACTGGAAATGGAGAGCGTGGATGTGGGTGTGTTTGGAAGAGGTATATGGGGCAGGGAGTGAACAGGGGTATGGAAGAGCAGAAAGAGGAAATGATTGTGCACACACACACGCACAAGCTTCCGCATGCTGCTGCCAACGCTGAAAGAAAGAAGAACAAGAACAAAAACTGCTTTGTTCTCATCCGAAGCGAAAATATTCTGAGGAATCTGGAGAGTATTAGCAGGTGTAGATGGCAAGGTATTCACCTGTAGACATCCGAAGCAGCAGTGGCCTCCCCTCGCAGCAGCTCTGGTGCTGAGTATACGTCACCACACGCGCCATGAGCAGCAGCAGCCGCCGCCGCGGCAGCAGCAGAAGCAGTAGCAGTGGCGCCATAGCACAGCGACGCACAGCCGAAATCAGCAAGCTTGGCGTCAAAGGTGTCTGTGAGGAGAATGTTGGAGGACCTTATGTTGCCATGCAGTACCTGCTGTGCCGCCCGCCATGGCGCATGACATGCGCAGCGATGGGGGCATTGATGGGGCATGGACAGAGGTGGGGCATGGACAGAGGTGGGGCATGGACAGAGGTGGGGCATGGACAGAGGTGGGGCATGGACAGAGGTGGGGCATGGACAGAGGTGGGGCATGGACAGAGGTGGGGCATGGACAGAGGTGGGGCATGGGACAGAGTGGGGCATGGACAGAGGTGGGCATAGTGGGGCATGGACCCCAGGAGGTGGGGCGATGGACACGAGGTGGGGCATGGACAGAGGTGGGGCATGGACAGAGGTGGGGCATGGACAGAGGTGGGGCATGGACAGAGGGGGGGCATGGACAGAGGTGGGGCATGGACAGAGGTGGGGCATGGACAGAGGTGGGGCATGGACAGAGGTGGGGCATGGACAGAGGTGGGGCATGGACAGAGGTGGGGCATGGACAGAGGTGGGGCATGGACAGAGGTGGGGCATGGACAGAGGTGGGCATGGACAGAGGTGGGGCAATGGACAGAGGTGGGGCATGGACAGAGGTGGGGCATGGACAGAGGTGGGGCATGGACAGAGGTGGGGGCATGGACAGAGGTGGGGCATGGACAGAGGTGGGGCATGGACAGAGGTGGGGCATGGACAGATGTGGGGCATGGACAGAGGTGGGGCATGGACAGAGGTGGGGCATGGACAGAGGTGGTGGCATGGACAGAGGTGGGGCATGGACAGAGGTGGGGGCATGGACAGAGGTGGGGCATGGACAGAGGTGGGGGCATGGACAGAGGTGGGCATGGACAGAGGTGGGGCATGGACAGAGGTGGGGGCATGGACAGAGGTGGGGCATGGAAGGAGGTGGGGCATGGACAGAGGTGGGGCATGGACAGAGGTGGGGCATGGACAGAGGTGGGGCATGGACAGAGGTGGGGCATGGACAGAGGTGGGGCATGGACAGAGGTGGGGCATGGACAGAGGTGGGGCATGGACAGAGGTGGGGCATGGACAAGGGTGGGGCATGGACAGAGGTGGGGGCATGGGACAGAGGTGGGGCATGGACAGAGGTGGGGCTATGGACAGAGGTGGGGCATGGACAGAGGTGGGGCATGGACAGAGGTGGGGCATGGACAGAGGTGGGGCATGGACAGAAGGTGGGGCATGGACAGAGGTGGGGCATGGACAGAGGTGGGGCAATGGACAGAGGTGGGGCATGGACAGAGGTGGGGCATGGACAGAGGTGGGGCATGGACAGAGGTGGGGCATGGACAGAGGTGGGGCATGGACAGAGGTGGGCATGGACAGAGGTGGGGCATGGACAGAGGTGGGGCATGGACAGAGGTGGGGCATGGACAGAGGTGGGCATGGACAGAGGTGGGGGCATGGACAGAGGTGGGGCATGGACAGAGGTGGGGCATGGACAGAGGTGGGGCATGGACCAGAGGTGGGGCATGGACAGAGGTGGGGCATGGACAGAGGTGGGGCATGGACAGAGGTGGGGCATGGACAGAGGTGGGGCATGGACAGAGGTGGGGCATGGACAGATGGTGGGGCATGGACAGAGGTGGGGCATGGACAGAGGTGGGGCAATGGACAGAGGTGGGGCATGGACAGAGGGGGGCATGGACAGAGGTGGGGCATGGACAGAGGTGGGGCATGGACAGAGGTGGGGCATGGACAGAGGTGGGGCATGGACAGAGGTGGGGCATGGACAGAGGTGGGGCATGGACAGAGGTGGGCATGGACAGAGGTGGGCATGGAACAGAGGTGGGGCATGGACAGAGGTGGGGCATGGACAGAGGTGGGGGCATGGACAGAGGTGGGGCATGGACAGAGGTGGGGCATGGACAGAGGTGGGGCATGGACAGAGGTGGGGCAGTGGACAGAGGTGGGGCATGGACAGAGGTGGGGCATGGACAGAGGTGGGGGCATGGACAGAGGTGGGGCATGGACAGAGGTGGGGCATGGACAGAGGTGGGGCATGGACAGAGGTGGGGCATGGACAGAGGTGGGGCATGGACAGAGGTGGGGCATGGACAGAGGTGGGGCATGGACAAGAGGGTGGGCATGGACAGAGGTGGGGCCATGACAGAGGTGGGGCATGGACAGAGGTGGGGCATGGACAGAGGTGGGCATGGACAGAGTTGGGGCCATGGACAGAGGTGGGGCATGGACAGAGGTGGGGCACTGGACAGAGGTGGGGCATGGACAGAGGTGGGGCATGGACAGAGGTGGGCATGGGACAGAGGTGGCGGCATAGGACAGAGGTGGGGCATGGCCAGCAGCTGTGGGGCATGGACAGGGGTGGGGCATGGACAGAGGTGGGCATGGACAGAGGTGGGGCATGGACAGAGGTGGGGCATGGACAGAGGTGGGGCATGGACAGAGGTGGGGCATGGACAGAGGTGGGGCATGGACAGAGGGGGTGCCATGGACAGAGGTGGGGCATGGACAGAGGTGGGGGCATGGACAGAGGTGGGCATGGACAGAGGTGGGGCATGGACAGAGGTGGGGCATGGACAGAGGTGGGGCATGGAACAGAGGTGGGGCATGGACAGAGGTGGGGCATGGACAGAGGTGGGGCATGGACAGAGGTGGGGCATGGGACAGAGGTGGGCATGGACAGAGGTGGGGCATGGACAGAGGTGGTGCATGGACAGAGGTGGGGCATGGACAGAGGTGGGGCATGGACAGAGGTGGGGCATGGACAGAGGTGGGGCATGGACAGAGGTGGGGCATGGACAGAGGTGGGCATGGCAGAGTGGGGCATTGACAGAGGTGGGCATGGACAGAGGTGGGGCATGGGGACAGAGGTGGGGCATGGACAGAGGTGGGGCATGGACAGAGGTGGGGCATGGACAGAGGTGGGGCATGGACAGAGGTGGGGCATGGACAGAGGTGGGGCATGGACAGAGGTGGGGCATGGACAGAGGTGGGGCATGGACAGAGGTGGGGCATGGACAGAGGTGGGGCATGGACAGAGGTGGGGCATGGACAGAGGTGGGGCATGGACAGAGGTGGGGCATGGACAGAGGTGGGGCATGGACAGAGGTGGGGCATGGACAGAGGTGGGGCATGGACAGAGGTGGGGCATGGACAGAGGTGGGGCATGGACAGAGGTGGGGCATGGACAGAGGTGGGGCATGGACAGAGGTGGGGCATGGACAGAGGTGGGGCATGGACAGAGGTGGGGCATGGACAGAGGTGGGGCATGGACAGAGGTGGGGCATGGACAGAGGTGGGGCATGGGGCATGGACAGAGGTGGGGCATGGACAGAGGTGGGGCATGGACAGAGGTGGGGCATGGACAGAGGTGGGGCAGAAGTTGGGGCATGGACAGAGGTGGGGCATGGACAGAGGTGGGGCATGGACAGAGGTGGGGCATGGACAGAGGTGGGGCATGGACAGAGGTGGGGCCATGGACAGAGGTGGGGCATGGACAGAGGTGGGGCATGGACAGAGGTGGGGCATGGACAGAGGTGGGGCATGGACAGAGGTGGGGCATGGACAGAGGTGGGGCATGGACAGAGGTGGGGCATGGACAGAGGTGGGGCATGGACAGAGGTGGGCATGGACAGAGGTGGGGCATGGACAGAGGTGGGGCATGGACAGAGGTGGGGCAATGGACAGAGGTGGGGCATGGACAGAGGTGGGGCATGGACAGAGGTGGGCATGGACAGAGTGGGGCATGGACAGAGGTGGGGCATGGACAGAGGTGGGGCATGGACAGAGGTGGGGCATGGACAGAGGTGGGGCATGGACAGAGGTGGGGCATTGGACAGAGGTGGGGCATGGACAGAGGTGGGGCATGGACAGAGGTGGGGCATGGACAGAGGTGGGGCCTATGGCCACAGAGGTGGGGCATGGACAGAGGTGGGGCATGGACAGAGGTGGGGCATGGACAGAGGTGGGGCATGGACAGAGGTGGGGCATGGACAGAGGTGGGGCATGGACAGAGGTGGGGCATGGACAGAGGTGGGGCATGGACAGAGGTGGGGCCATGGACAAGAGGTGGGGCATGGACAGAGGTGGGGCATGGACAGAGGTGGGGCATGGACAGAGGTGGGGCATGGACAGAGGTGGGGCATGGACAGAGGTGGGGCATGGACAGAGGTGGGGCATGGACAGAGGTGGGGCATGGACAGAGGTGGGGCATGGACAGAGGTGGGGCATGGGACGAGGTGGGGCATGGACAGAGGTGGCATGGACAGGTGGGCATGGACAGAGGTGGGGCATGGACAGATGTGGGGCATGGACAGAGGTGGGGCATGGACAGAGGTGGGGCATGGACAGAGGTGGGGGCATGGACAGAGGTGGGCATGGAACAAGTGGGGCATGGACAGAGGTGGGGCATGGACAGAGGTGGGGCATGGACAGAGGTGGGGCATGGACAGAGGTGGGGCATGGACAAGAGGTGGGGCATGGACAGAGGTGGGGCATGGACAGAGGTGGGGCATGGACAGAGGTGGGGCATGGACAGAGGTGGGGCATGGACAGAGGTGGGGCATGGACAGAGGTGGGGCATGGACAGAGGTGGGGCATGGACAGAGGTGGGGCATGGACAGAGGTGGGGCATGGACAGAGGTGGGGCATGGACAGAGGTGGGGCATGGACAGAGGTGGGGCATGGACAGAGGTGGGGCATGGACAGAGGTGGGGCATGGACAGAGGTGGGGCATGGACAGAGGTGGGGCATGGACAGAGGTGGGGCATGGACAGAGGTGGGGCATGGACAGAGGTGGGGCATGGACAGAGGTGGGGCATGGACAGAGGTGGGGCATGGACAGAGGTGGGGCATGGACAGAGGTGGGGCATGGACAGAGGTGGGGCATGGACAGAGGTGGGGCATGGACAGAGGTGGGGCATGGACAGAGGTGGGGCATGGACAGAGGTGGGGCATGGACAGAGGTGGGGCATGGACAGAGGTGGGGCATGGACAGAGGTGGGGCATGGACAGAGGTGGGGCATGGACAGAGGTGGGGCATGGACAGAGGTGGGGCATGGACAGAG